ACGCGCACGTGTGAGGAGACACCGGGGTGGTTTTAGCTGGTAAGAGTCCAGCACGCCCCTCCGCCTTTCCCCAGGCGCAGGTAGTCCATGAGGATATCCCCCCGTAAAAAAAAAGGTTAGGTTAGGTTAGGTTAGGTTCCCCCCCGAACGGGATCCCGCCTTGTCGTGGCGGGGGGGCTTAGTAGCCGTGGCTTGGTCACCCGCGGTGAACTAAGAGCAACCCCTGGGTTGGCCCGTGGTGTAGGGCTGGCCCGAGGTGGCCGCTCCGTGTGGGCTTGAGCCCACGTCGGATGTGTGTCGGTGGGCTGCGGTGAGAGGGGTGTCCGCTCCCTCTACCGCTGCAGCCGAGGTGGAGTCGCGGAGGAAGATGAGTGTAATTATGGCGATGCGCCACTCGCCCTATCCTCCGCGACTCAGACGGGGCCGCACCGTTAAATGATGCGGTGGTGGTGGGGCTGCGGGGGGATAGGAGTGTCGGTATTGCGAGGCGCCGCTCTCCCTACCCTCCGCAGCCGAATCTTGGTTGGCGGCGGGGCCATAGACCAGATCCGTCGCTGGGGTCAGGAAGGCTGGTGCTTCAGAGTGCTAGTTTTTCCTGGCCCCATGGCTTCCGCGTATCGGACTTGGGGGGGTCCGATACGCAGATGGACTTGGAGGCTTTGGAGGGGGGTGGCTTAACACCTCGCTACCCCGTGCAGGAGACGAGGCCCGGACAGACCGGGCCAGCACTAGCGTGGGATTGCGGAAGAATTTGGATTCCCGCGGCCCCGCGCGCACGTGCGAGGAGGCATCGTGGGGTTTTAGCCGGTAGGAGTCCGGCATAACCTTCCGGTTGCCCCCGCAGCCGGAGGTATCCATGAGGATTTCCCCACGTAAAAAAAAAAAAAAAGTTAGGTTAGGTTAGTTTGCCCCCCCCCCCCGAACGGGTTCCCGCCTTGTCGTGGCGGGGGGGCTTAGTAGCCGTGGCTTGGTCAACCACGGTGAACGAAGAGGAACCCCTTGGCTCGCCCGAGGTGTAGGGCCGGCCCGAGGTGGCCACTCCGAGTGGGCTTGGGAAGCCCACTTCGGATGTGTGTCGGGGGGCTGTGGTGAGAGGGGAGTCCGCAACCCTCTACCGCTGCAGCCGAGGTGGAGTCGCGGAGGAAGAGGAGTGTTGGTATGGTGATGCGCCACTCGCCCTATCCTCCGCGACTCAGACGGGGCCGCACCGTTGAATGATGCGGTGGTGGTGGGGCTGCGGGGGGAGAGGAGTGTCGGTATTGCGAGGCGCCGTTCTCCCTACCCTCCGCAGCCGAATCTTGGTTGGCGGCGGAGCCATAGACCAGATCCGCCGCTGGGGTCGGGAAGGCTGGTGCTTCTTAGTGCTAGTTTTTCCTGGCCCCATGGCCTTCGCGCATCGGACACGGGGGCGTCTGTTGCGCATATGAAATTGGAGGCCGAGGAGGAGGGCGCGCCATGTGTTCTGGTGCGCCTTACCGGAGAAGGAGATGGGGGAGGAGTGGTCCTCTCCCGAGGAGGGGCCGCCATGAGGTGGCCGGCGCAGGTGGGGCCGCGGAAGTGTGCGAAAGCGTTCCCGTGGCCCTGCCAATATGCGACGAGGGTGGAACACCATGGGGTTTTAGTCGGTGCGAGTCCGACATAACCCGTCCTTGCCCCCGCGAGGCGGGTATGCGTAGGCATTTCCCCATGTAAAAAAAAAAAAAAAGGTTAGGTTGCCCGCGGAGGGAGCTCCTCCGAGCAACCAGCCCACGACTGCCGGGTCTAAGGGTGAGACCTGGGCGAAAGTCTTGGGCCGCAAGAAGGCCCGCAAAGCCACCAAGAAGGCCGCAGCAGCTGCATGTGTCCCAGGTGGAACCGCAAATACGGCTCCTAAACCTGCACGGCGGACTGCCAAAGGCGGTCGCAAGAGACCGGCTGTACATGTTCCGCGGTCCAACGCTGTAACGCTAACGTTGCAGCCCGGAACTGTGGAGCGTGGCGTGACGTACCAGTCGGTCATCGCCGAGGCCAAGGCCAAGATCAAATTATCTGATCTTGGCCTTCAGTCCGTCACCCTCAGGCAGGCTGCCACGGGTGCACGGCTGTTCGAGGTGGCTGGCACTGTGAGCGGCAGTGCCGAAAAGGCGGACGCACTGGTCGCCAAGATGAGGGAGGTCCTCAACCCTGAGGACGTCCGGGTCTCCAGACCAATGAAAACCGCAGAGGTGCGGATTGCTGGCCTGGACGACTCCGTGACCTCTGAGAAGGTGGTGGCGGCCGTTGCCAGAAGTGAAGAGTGTCCGCCGGACAAGGTGCGGGCTGGCGATATACGCACCGACGCCACCGGACTCGGCGCGGTCTGGGTTCGGTGCCCTGTAGCGTCGGCGAAGAAGATCGCCGATAGCGGCAGATTGCTAGTAGGCTGGGTGGCGGCAAGGACCAAGCTCTTACAGCCCCGGGCTTTGCAGTGCTTTCGGTGCCTGGAAAAAGGGCACGTCCGGGTGAAGTGCACCGCCGAGGTTGACCGTAGTGACCTCTGTTATCGCTGCGGCCAGCCTGGCCACAAGGCTGCCCTGTGCTCCGCGGCGCTCAACTGCAGCCTTTGTTCTGCTGCGGGTAGGCCAGCGGAGCAGAGAGTAGGCGGAGGGGCCTGTGGGGCGCCTGCCAGCAAGAAGAAGAAAAAGGAAAAGAAGAGGAGCACTAAGCCTGCCGGGTTAACCTCGCTGCCCCCGCAGGCTAGCAGCTCCGCGGCCGACTCCCGGCCCAGGACCGTTGCCGAGGGGATGGAATGTCAATAATGGCTCAATTCCATTCTCTCCATTTTCTCCAGGGCAACATCAACCACTGTGCCAGAGCTCAGGATCTCCTACTCCAGAGCATGGCAGAGTGGTCGATTCACGTGGCTGTGGTCGCCGAACCGTACTTCATTCCCGCCCGTGACAACTGGTTGGGATGCGCTGACGGTTTGGTGGCCATTATTGGCGAGACTCTGATCGACCCGTCTCGGGGCCGAGGCTGGGTTGCTGCGGTCTCGGGCGGTATCATTATATTAGGGGCGTATTTCTCCCCCAACAAGAGTCTCGCCGACTTTGAGGGTTTCCTTGTCGAATTGGGCGCCGTCGTCGGCCGCTATCACCCTCGTCCCGTTGTGGTGCTCGGGGATCTCAACGCCAAGTCATCGGCATGGGGATCTCCGGTCACTGACCCTCGGGGCGAGGTGCTAGAAGAGTGGACGGTGACGACTGGTCTGGTCGTCCTGAATCGGGGCTCGGAATACACGTGCGTGCGGCAGCGGGGTGGGTCGATAGTGGACGTCTCGTTTGCTAGCCCCTCTGTCGCCAGCCGAGTCCGCGACTGGCGTGTCGTCGCAGAGGTGGAGACGCTGTCGGACCATCGATATATCCGGTTCGACGTCTCTGCCCAGACTGCGAGCGGCCGCCATCCAACAACCCCGATTAACGACGGCCCACGTTGGGCGCTTAAGCGCATCAACAGGGAACTACTCGAGGAAGCTGCCCTAGTTCAGTCCTGGATCTGGGAGTCGACGACGGACGGCCCCGTCGACGTCGAAGCGGTGGCGCTATGGTTTCGCGGGGCGATGACGCAGATCTACGACGCGTCCATGCCCCGTGTCCGCCAACGGTCCGCAAAGCGCCAGGTATACTGGTGGACCGCCGAGATCGCGCAATTGCGCATAGCGTGCGTTGCGGCTCGTCGCCGGTACACCCGATACCGGAGGCGGCGTCGACGGGATTCCGCCGAGGAGGACGCGCTGTATGAGGTGTACCGCGCGTCTAAGGAGACTCTGTGGCTGGCCATCGGCGACTCAAAGTCGCGTGCCAGGGAGGAGCTGCTGGGGTCCCTAGATCGGGATACGTGGGGGCGCCCCTACCGTTGGATACGGGGCAAGTTGCGTCCCTGGGCGCCTCCACTAACACAAAGAATGCAACCCCAGTTGCTAGAGTCGGTGTTATCGACTCTCTTCCCTGAGCGAGTGGGACACGTTCCCCCGGCGATGGCTTCGCCCTCAGCCACAGACTCTCCAGAAGAGGAGAGCACCGATGTCCTTGAGGTGACGCAAGCAGAGACGAGAGTGGCCGTGTCGCGACTCCGGGCTAAGAACACAGCGCTCGGACCCGACGGAGTTCCTGGTCGAGCTCTCGTCCTGGCTCTGAAGGAACTAGAGCCCCAGCTGAGAGGGCTCTTCACGGCATTTGTCGAGCAGGGTCAGTTTCCCAGTGTGTGGAAGGAGGGGAGGCTGGTCCTGCTCAGGAAAGAGGGGCGCCCCGCGGACTCACCGTCCGCGTACCGGCCCATAGTGCTGCTCGACGAGGCGGGCAAATTTTTCGAGCGTATCATCGCAGATCGCCTCGTCAGCCACTTGTGCAGAGAGGGGCCGGACCTGGATGACAACCAGTTTGGTTTTCGTCGCGGGCGCTCCACCATAGACGCTATTACGCGCGTGAGGGCCCTGGCGGAGGAGACAGTATCCCGGGGTGGGGTGGTGCTGGCGGTGTCCTTAGACATCTCCAACGCCTTCAACACCCTACCCTGGAGTTGTATTCGGGGGGCGCTGAATTACCATCGCGTGCCTCCCTACCTCCGCCGCACAATAGGGGCTTAAGGGCACAAGTGGTGAACCGCATCCGGCGCCTGGGCCTGGAGGTGGCCCTAAGTAAGTCGGAGGCCATGGTGTTCCATGGCCCTCGACGCGCGCCGCCGCCGGGTTCACACATCGTGGTCAGCGGGGCCCGGATAGCTGTCGAGTCCACCATAAAGTATCTGGGATTGGTGCTCGACAGCCGATGGGAATTCGGACACCACTTCCGTCGGCTGGCGCCCAAGCTGATGGGTGCAGCGGGCGCGCTATCAACGTTGCTTCCCAACTTGGGGGGCCCGAGCGCCGCCTGTAGGCAGTTGTACGTGGGAATCGTGCGGTCCATGGCCCTGTATGGGGCCCTGTGTGGGCGATGGACATGACGGCCAGCACTCTCGCCATTCTGCATAAACCGCAGAGGGCGATGGCCGTCAAAGTCGTCCGCGGGTATCGCACGATTTCCTACGAGGCGGCTTGCGTCCTGGCCGGATCCCCGCCCTGGGACCTAGAGGCGAAAGTACTCGCGTCATTATATCGATGGCGCGAGGAAGAGCGGGCACGGGGCTCGAGGCCGGTGCAGCGGCAGATCGCGCTGCGCCGAGAGGAGCTCCGTCAGGTCTTGGTGGCGGAATGGCGGCAAAGGCTTCTGCGCCCTACCGCCGGCCTCGCTACCGTCGAGGCGATCCGGCCAGTACTCGACGACTGGCTCGGGAGAAGACACGGCTCCCTGTCGTTTAGGGTGACGCAAGTGCTGTCGGGGCATGGCTGCTTCGGCAAGTACCTGCGCCGCATAGACAGGTAGCCGGACGCTCGGTGCCACCACTGCGTCCATTGCGGGGAGGACACGGCGCAACACACGCTCGGCGAGTGTGTAGCTTGGGAGGCTACACACTCGCCCCTACCGTTGGGTACGGGGCAAGTTGCGTCCCTGGGCGCCTCCACTAACACAAACGATGCAACCCCGGTTGCTAGAGGCGGTGGTATCGGCTCTCTTCCCTGAGCGAGTGGGACACGTTCCCCCGGCAATGGCTTCGCCCTCAGCCACACTCTCCAGAAGAGGAGAGCACCGATGTCCCCGAGGTGACGCAAGCAGAGATGAGAGCGGCCGTGTCGCCATGCCAAGTAAAGTTGATGTGTAGGAAATATGAATGAACGGAATGTGGTTACCTTTAGAACTGCCCTCTGAGCAGGTTCTAGTGGGAGCAATATTGTTTTAGAAGCACCACCCCAGGAAGTAATGCCGTAAGTGAGTATGGATTGAAACAAAGCTAAATAGACCTGTCTTATCAATTTGAATTCAGCGATGTTACGAAGATATTTAAAAATATATATTAATTTACGAACTCTAGCACAAATTAAATCGATGTGCTTGCGGAATTTAAATTTGTGTCAAGCGTGATACCTAGATATTTTATATGGTCTGTTTTTGTTAATGCGGGACATGCACATGCAGTGTCATCATACGAGTTATCTAAAATTTTAGATAAACCAGGCGACAACGAGGCGGCTTGCGTCCTGGCCGGATCGCCGCCCTGGGACCTAGAGGCGAAAGTACTCGCGTCATTATATCGATGGCGCGAGGAAGAGCGGGCACGGGGCTCGAGGCCGGTGCAGCGGCAGATCGCGCTGCGCCGAGAGGAGCTCCGTCAGGTCTTGGTGGCGGAATGGCGGCAAAGGCTTCTGCGCCCTACCGCCAGCCTCGCTACCGTCGAGGCGATCCGGCCAGTACTCGACGACTGGCTCGGGAGAAGGCACGGCTCCCTGTCGTTTAGGGTGACGCAAGTGCTGTCGGGGCATGGCTGCTTCGGCAAGTACCTGCGCCGTATAGATAGGGAGCCGGATGCTCGGTGCCACCACTGCGTCCATTGCGGGGAGGACACGGCGCAACACACGCTCGCCGAGTGTGTAGCTTGGGAGGAGCAGCGCCGTGTCCTCACAAATAAAGTAGGAGGCGATCTGTCGCTGCCGGCCTTAGTGCGGAAGATGGTCGGTAGCGCAGAGTCGTGGGATGCGGTGGTGTCCTTCTGCGAGGACGTGATTTCGCAGAAGGAAACTGCGGAACGGGAAAGGGAGATCTCGACTCCCTTCCCTGGCCGCAGAAGGCGCACCGGGCGCAGGAGAAGGGCGGACAACGCCTTTTTCCGGCCCCCATGAATGGGTCCAGGAGCGAGGGACTTGGGGAAGCCCCCCGCCACCCCTACTGGATGGACCCGAGGCGGAGGCGCGCGCGGGTGCCGGCGCGCGCCCCTGAGGCGATACACGGGGTAGTTGAACACCTCACTACCCCGTGCAGGAGACGAGGCCCGGACAGACCGGGCCAGCACTAGTGTGGGGCTGCGGAAGAATTTGGATTCCCGCGGCCCCACGCGCACGTGTGAGGAGACACCGGGGTGGTTTTAGCCGGTAAGAGTCCGGCACGCCCCTCCGCCTTTCCCCAGGCGGAGGTAGTCCATGAGAATTTCCCCCCGTAAAAAAAAATAAAAAAGGTTAGGTTAGGTTAGGTTAGGGTTTTTTTTTTCTTTTTCTCAATTCATCTGCTGTTATTTATTTTACAGCACCTTTTGTGTCTTTTATATTTTTCGTCTTTTTGGGTTGCATTCTTTTTTTTTATATTTTTTAATTCTTTTTTTTTATTTTTTATTTTTTGTATTTGTTACAATTTTTTCTTGATATTGCAAGCACTACATTGCAAATTTAACATATTACTGTGTACGTATACCGCTTGTGTACTTGGCTAGTGTCAAGTTACTTGCTGTTTAGTTTGACAATTTATTACTACATATAGTGTGTACATTAATTTCTCTATACACTCATGATTGCTTATTTTGTTTCTCTTGTTACAATTAGGGTATGCTATTTACAAGTGTTATAATTTATCATTTAATACTAACTTAGCTAAATATTATTTAAATCAAAAGAAATAGGAATAGAAATAGAAATCTTTTGCTACTGTTATAAATATTCTAATTGCTATCATTATACATTAACTTAACTAGGCACTAATAACTACCTATTTTATTTGTTTTTTTACAATTGTGAATATGATACTAACTGGTTTATTTCTATAGAATGAACATATTTAATTCAATTTTTTTTTTAGTGTGTCGTACTTACATGTTTATAACTTATACTTATTACTTAGTTCAAAGATTTTTTTTAATCTATTAATTATACACTTTGGAACCATTTTCTTTTAGTACCTTTTTAGTGCACCACTCGGCAAATCCGAGAAAGTGAATGCGGCTGTCATTGTCGTTAATCGCCTTTGTTAGAGTATCTTCATTGAGCGCAAAACCCATGCGGCGTTCGCAATCAAATCTCCTTGCTGCGTATTTGGGACAATCGATTAGTATATGTTCTATAGTTTGCGGAGTGACTTGATCGCAATCACAGCATGAGCTCCGCGCTAACTTAAACCTAAACAGATATGCTTTAAAGCCACCGTGACCGGTGAAAATTTGACATCGTAGATTATTAATTTGAATTTTCATCATGGTCTTATATGCCTGAATTACTGATGGGAAGAATTTCTTCGTTACTCGTCCGGTCTCCGCTGTGGTTTATTGTTTTTGCCAGTTTTGCAAAGTATTGTCCCTGATAAGGCGTTTTGTGAAGGATAGGGGGAAGCAGTCAAATACTGGTTTCTGCTATGAGGTTTCTGCGGCGGACTTGACTAGTTCGTCGGCCCTTTCATTACCTGGGATCCCGCAGTGCGCCTTTGTCCAGAATAATCTTACATCACCTAGGTTTCTTTTTATGTCTGATATGCGATCTAGGATTTCTGCTGCAAGAGGGTGTAGAGTATTGGGATTTGTTAGACACTCAAGTGCGGATTGAGAATCACTTAAAATGTTTGCTTTCCTGAGTGTGTGTCTACTTTGTATTACTTCTGTGGCTTTCAAAATTGCTACTAGTTCGGCTTGATACACACTACAGTGGTTTCCTAGTTTTAATTTAGTCTTGTATATTTCCTGGCCTTCCTTCCAACAGGTAATGGCAGCGCCTACTCTGCCAGCAATTTTGCTGCCATCCGTATAAATACAAGGCCAGTCGTTTTCGATAGATTTTAATTCGCCTTCGGTTATGATTGAACTGTATGATAGCTTATGTCGTTCTGCTAGGTGAGGTAGAGTGTATGGGCTAATAGGTTTCGCTAGCTCCTTGCCTGGTAATTGCGAAAGTGGTTTCCCTCTTTTTATTTTATACAGTTCAGCATTTTCTTTTGCTCTTAAATCCAGGGGAAGAATTCTAGCTAAGGTGACACAGGAGACCATGGAGGCTGTACGGTGTGCTTTACTTATTAAAATGCTGAATGTCCTGGTTATTCTGTTGAGCCTAGTTTTTATTTGGTTTTTGTCTGCTACGCATCCCCAAGCCCCTGCGGCATAAAGGACTGTAGGTTCAATTACAGTAATGTAGATTGTCCTGAGAATTTCTGTATTAAGTCCCCAGTTCGCTCTCGCTGTTCTTGCCACGTTTTTGTAAAGCTTAATCGCCTTTTCTGTAGCTCTATCTATATGTTTTATAAAGTTGAGATTGACGTCTATTGTAAGTCCAAGGATCGTGATACTGTCGGTAAATTTTATTTATAAGTGTTATTTTTGGGTTCTCAAATTTTAACTTTTTAGTCACTATAATGGCCTGGGTTTTGTGTGCTGCCAGTTTCATTTTGCGCAGTTTCCCCCAGATTAATATATGGTTCAGAATTGGATTTAGCTCTTTCTCTATCTCTTTTGCAGTTTTTCCTTTGAATACCAACATTATGTCGTCCGCATATGCTTGAATATGCGTTCCTTGCTCTTCAATTTCTCTTAGTAGTGGATCTAGCTGTAAATTCTAGAGAAGTGGTCCGCAAGTGGAGCCTTGTATGCATCCTTTGTTAGTTTGCTTAATAATTTCGTTACCTGCATAGCTAAGTTTTATGAACCTGTTTGAGAGATAGCTACTTATCAATCTGCAAATGGATTTGTCTACTTTTTTGTTTTCAAGTTCATTGATCATGGCGGGCCACTAGGCGTTATCGAAGGCTCCTTCGATATCTATGGAAACAATGACAACTATATCCTTGTTATTTATGCCCTGCTTTATAAAATCTAGCGCGTCGCATAGGGCGTCTTCGGTACCTCTCTGCGCAACGAACCCATACTGCCTGCCGCTCATTCTGTTTTCAGATCCCAACTGCCATGACATACGATTGACAAACAGCTTTTCCAAGACTTTTCCCAAAATGGGGAGAAGTCCTATAGGCCTATATGACTTAGAAAGGGTGTAATCCTCTTTGTTTGCTTTGGGGATAACCCTAATGACCGCTCTTTTCCAGGCTCCTGGGAATTATCCAAATTTCAGGCATCTGTTGAAGATAGCTAGGAGAACCTGAGGGTGGCCATGTAGGCTTTGAAGCAGATATCTGCGGTTAAGCCGTCCTCTCCCGGTGATTTCTTTGGACTCATGGTTTTGAAAATCAGTTGTACTTCAGTGTCTGTGAATTCTGTTATAGAGTCTTTATTGTTAGTTCATTCTTTCTTATATGCTTCAGCTTTACGTCTGACTTCTGCATGCATTTGTTCATCAGATTCAGTGTCGTCCATTGGGTAGAATGTATCCGATAAGAGCTCTGCTGATTCTACTGGGGTCATTATTGTACTATTTGGCGTCTTCCTTAACAAGGTATCTTCTGAGTTCTTGCTGGATTTACGAATGACCCTGTAAATGCCCTGCCACATGCTCTCTCGGTCTTGTCTGCTGCAGAATTCCTTCCAACTTGACGTTATCGTTTCCGTAAGAAGATTTTTATATTCCGTTTTAGCCTGTGTATATTCGTCAATTATTATTTGTTTTCTGTTCCTATTTGCGAATTTCATTCTTCTCCTTTTCCGAATAACCTCTTTTTTCTTCTCACCTAATTCCTTAGTCCACCATGGTGTTTCTGCAGGTATCCTTTTATGTAATTTAGTGATGGATTTATCGCAAGATTTTTGTATGCATTCAACGTACTGAATGACTAGGTTCTCCAGGGTGTGTATGCTTGCTGTGTTTCTGACCTGTTCCTCTGTGACATTACATATTTCCAGTTCCGCTTTCAGGGTGGAGGCAAAGTTTGTCCAGTTGGCCTTGCTTGTGTTGTATATACGTGTGGATCTTCGTTGACTGGCTTCTTTTATTTTTATTTTATTATTTTATTTAATTAGATTACCAACGATTGTTACATTACTCAAATCTTAATTGCTAAAGCTTAGTATCTAGTACATAATGCACAATCACTTATAGGTAATCATCGCTTACACAATAAAACATTAAATAATAAGGCAAAAGACTTAAAGCTACATCTCTAAAATGGTTTTTTTGAATTTAGTGGTTGTCATACAATGTACGTCAAGGATTTGGTGATGGTTACAATATTTGTTATAGATATGGCACATTCTAGAGATCGGGGAATTCGATCCTAGTAGCGTCCTACGGAATGGGCATACTAGAGGCTTAATAGGAGCACGAGGTATTCTCCGCGGCACTCTAAAGCAAAATTTTGAGAGAAGTTCTGGAGAGCATATGTAGTTTCTAATAACTTTATAGAAGAACATTAGGTCAGTTATATCTCTTCGCTTGTCCAGTGATGTTAACTTAAAGTATTTTAAGGATTTAGAGTACGAATAGGGATTACTCAGCTTGCCAACGGAGTACGATAAATGACGTATGAACCTTTTTTGAATCCGTTCAATCCTTAGACTATGAGTTGCAAAATGGGGACGCCATACTACACTTCCGTATTCTAAAATTGAGCGCACTAGGCTGCAGTATAGCAAAATTTTGGTTGCCGGTTTTCTGAAAAATTTTCCATTTCTTATTACTAAACCTAACATTTTTGATGCTCTCTTTGTAGCATGATCAATATGATTGACGAATGTTAGTTTTTGATCCAAAAGAATACCCAAATCTTTGACCACATTTACCTCTTTGATCTGAATGCCTTCGATATGATAAGTAGTTGGAATAATTTTAGATTTCCTGGTAAATTTGATGTGCACACATTTATCTACGTTCAATTTCATGCCGTTTGTTGCACACCAAGCCACTAAGGAGTCGATATCCCTTTGCACACGTGCAGCATTCTCAAGTGAACTAACGGCTCTTGCCAATTTCAAGTCGTCAGCAAACATGTATGGTTTCGTAAATTTAAGACTAAGAGGAAGGTCATTAACGAAGATGTTGAATAATATCGGTGCGATGTGAGATCCTTGGGGCACACCTGAAGGGATGGGATGCAACTCTGATGCAAAGCCATTCACTACCACATAAAAATCTCGACCAGTAAGATAAGACTTAAGCCATTTTAAAAGAGAACCATGAAAACCATAAATTGATAGTTTCTTTAGAACGATATCATGAGAAACTCTATCGAACGCCTTGCTGAAGTCCGTGTAGATAACATCAATTTGTCTATTGCTATCCATCTGCTCAATTAATTCCTCAGTGAAGAGGACCAGATTAGAACAAGTTGATCTACCGTTCATAAAACCATGCTGGCAGGGTGATATGAACTTCAGAATGTGATTTTGTATGTACGGACAGACAAGTGCTTCCAGTACTTTAGCTAAGGTAGATAAGATGGAGATTGGTCTGTAATTTGAGACTCTACAATTGTCACCATTTTTATGAATAGGCACAACTTTGGAAGTTTTCCATATAGTTGGAAATATACCTGTTTGAAGTGAAATGTTAAAAATTTTGTAAAGTGGTTTCAGAAGATTGTTCGCACACTTTGAAATGAATATTGGGGGAACATTATCGTAGCCTGCTCCTTTAGAAATGTCCACACTCTGTAGCTTTTTTAAAATTAAATTGTGATCTAATTTTAAGGAAGAAAAGCATTCACTGTTTTTGCTAATTATGTTGAGATTAGCGTCAAAGTGTTCGCTTGTATTACTTTTATTTATGATTTGAGAATTACAGTATATGGAAGTGAAATAAGAGGCAAAGAGATTGCAGATGTCCCTACCCTCTGTAAAACAAGCGGTACCGTCGGTCATAGACATAGGATAAGTACTAGAGCCCCCACGTTTGCTTTTTATATATGACCAGAAATATTTAGGGTTTGTCTGGATGCGATTCTCGACTTCCGCGTGATAGGATTTGTAGCAAGATTTCATTAGGTTCCTACAACGTTCTGTAAGAAGACGATAAGAAATCAAGTCTAAGGGATTGTGATACTTTTTGTATTTTAGTCTGTACTTATTTTTTTCCCGTAGGCGATTAATTAGGTCCTTGGAGAACCATAATGGATATCTTTTATTCTTTACTCTAGTAACAGGTACATTCTTTATAATTACTTCTTTGATATTATTATAAAAAATGTCTACCATCTGATCGATGTCTTCGACACCTGTGAAAAGTTCATCCCAATCGATCTTGGCTAAATATTTGTTAACTTTGTCATAGTCAACTAGATGAAAATTTAGCCTACGTGTCTCAAGATTGTATGGCAGAGTTGGACTACTAGAAAAAGTAATTTCAACTATGAGTGGTGGATGTAACGGGTCCTCGGTACATAATATGTCTGTTGCTCGAGAAACAGTGCATGATATTGTGTCTATTAAGACTAAATCAAGTGTTCTACCCATAGAATTATTAATAAAATTGCATTGTTTTAGGCTGTTTACCATAGAAAAATCAATAAAGCTTTGATATAAGGGAGAAGTCTGTAAATTTTCTGAGTTGTATACACTACTCCAGTTTAAGTTGCTCAAATTAAAATCTCCGATGAGGCAAATTTGTGTGTTAAGTTGCTCTTTTACTTTATTAAAATTATCGATAAAATGATTAAGTAGCGAACTATGAATTGGTGGTGGGAGATACACGGCACAAAAAACAATCTGGTAGGTAGATGAGGATGAGTCTACTGCTACCCACAGGTCTTCGCATTTGCTATCATAGTGATGAAGCCTTTTGGAGTGAATATTTTTATTAATGGCAATTAAGACTCCTCCCCCATCTTTATGCGAATTAAATGTAAAGTCCTCTCTATCTCTCCTGTATACTACGTATCTGTTGTCGAATATTTCAGAACTAAGGATGTTTTTATTAAGCCAAGTTTCTGTTAAAATAATAATATCATAATTACTAGCTAACAAGTTACAATAAAATAAATGAGTTTTGGTTCGGAGACCACGTATGTTTTGGTAATATATATTAAGAGCTGAGAATTTTATAGCTTTTGGCCAGAACTTTTATACTATCAATACCAAGGACAAACAAGTATTTATTTAAGTTTGTGAATAGTGTCCATATCCTTTATAGTTATGCAGTTCGCTTTGTCGCTTTTCCTCATGTAAATACGGCCATTTTTAATCCAAACGTATTTATATCCCTTTTCTTTTGCAGCGGATCTGGCGGCAATGTGCAGGGCTCTGTTTGTCGGTGATAGATGATCAGTAATGAATATAGGTGTTTTCGATCCTTCGTATCCAAGATGAGAGCTGTTGAGTTTATCGTGAATAGGTTTCGGTTTGTTAAAGTTTATAGCTGCGGCCATGAACAAATTTCTGGATTGAATGGTGTTGAATTGAGCTACGATCGATCTGGGTCTTGTGCTTCCAGGATTTAGTTTAGCTATGCGAGTACAATGGGAAATATTGTCCCTGGAAATATTACAGTTAATGACTTTGCCAATGTTGGTTATAATCTCAACAATATTTTCATTTTTCTTCTCCGGGATGCATTGGATTTCCACATTGTTTGAGCGTGCATTTTGTTCCAGCATGTTAAGTCGTGTGCATACGTCTTTTATTGTGTTTTTAGGAGTCAAGTTTTCTACCTTTAGATCCGACAGAGTTTTTTTAACTTCGGCTTGCTCTTTAAGGACATCCTCAAATTTGCTGTTCATGAAGTTCATTGAGTCTTTAATATCCTTCATTTCATTCATAACGGCTCTCAATTCAGTACTGAATAATTGAAGGGAGTTGCTAAGATTAGTATTCAATCCATCTATTTCCTTGCGAACCACTTCCTGAACAACGCTACGCATATCTTCTTTAAATGTATATTCTGATGCGTTATCAGGGGGGGATTGTAACGCCTGCCTTTTTGTGGCGCGGATTGTTATATTTGGATTGAAACGCACCGGAGTCTCATCGTTGTTAGGGTTTTTTGGCTGGGGGGTAGTGCATGTTGGACAATTCCATGATGGTTCAATCAGATTTTGAGGGTTAACAGTTGATGAAGTCAAACAAGCCAAGTGAAATGTCTTGCGGCATGTATTACATAGAATGTACCCATTGTCCTCTTTATTAGACCCTCCGCAACATCCCCATTCATTATTTTTACTGGACATTATTATAAAGTATAATTTATTAGTACTCCTGCCACTTCTAATATTTCAATTGACACTATGTAAGATTGACTTTAAAAAACTTGTAGGCGTTGTGGGTTTAGAACGACTGGGGTACTAAAATATTTCAACTTTTTATACGATTGGGTCTTGATTTGTTTTTAAGTTGCACCGCCGTAAAATGACGTATAAACAATTTAAGAAACAAAAAAAAAAAATTTCGAAAGTAAAATAAATCTTCATCTATGATAAAGATTGAAGGTTTGAACTTGTACCGATAGAGTAAATAACAGTGTCGCGGTAATGCGCAACGTTCAAACCGCTAGATTTATGTTAAATAAGCCACTGGTTGTTGAAAACAGTCAAATTAATCAATAAAAATGCGGGTCTTTTTGTTTCTTAACAATACTACACAGACACTCACGGTAGCAATTTACCCTCAATGATTTCTGTGAACACTAATGTTAATCGGCACTTTTTGTTTACTTTCTTCCTTAAAGTTGAATTAATACACACAATGAATTATGCTATTTAAAAGGTGTTTGTTTCACGCACTGACTAATATAACTTCCACCACTAACTTCGCAGTATTATTCACTTAAACTATTATTTTTCTGTGGAGATATAACTTATGCGTCTACTAAGTAGTTATATGATTGCATCATACATCATATATTCTGGTGTATTAACGAAATTTATACTGTATGTGATTGTTCTGTGGTCGGATAATGTAAGAAAATCTGGATTAACGGTCCAATTGGTTATTTTACGGAGTAGGCTGCTCGAGCACACGGTTATGTCTACGATGCTTGTGTAGTCTTTATTTGCTCTGCGCGCCCAGAAGGTTGGTGTTCTACCCACGTTCAGTATGTGTAACTCGAGCTGAGCTAGTGCTTCCGAAATGGCTGTGCCCCGTCTATCCTCCACATCACAACCCCACCAGGGACTCTTTGCATTGATGTCCCCTCCTAGTATGACGTGCTTGGTATTTAGGATGTTCAGGAATTTTGCTATTTTTCTTATGTCTTCCTCGACGTCTTGACATTCTTCCATGTAAGTGTTTACAATTGAAATTTCAAAATCCTTAATTTTAAATTTAAATGCAACAATGTTTTCCGTTATTGTTTCAGGATTAACAGTGTATTGTATATTTGGGTCAACGACAATGACAGCCGATTTGACAGGTTTCTGAGTGTCGCTGGTATGTTTTTGTATAACGTTATGTTTACAGTTGACATGTGTTTTGGCCCCTACATAGGGTTCTTGAGTCGGAATGATTGACACTCCTTGAGATTCGGCTGCTTGCAAACATTCTTGGAGTGCTGCGTGCCCTCTCCCAAGGTTGATTTGTGCAATCTTTATTGTGCTGTCCTTTGCGCCTGATGTTCTGTGTGGAAGGGAATCGGTGTCTTTAGCAATATGTGACAGTTGATCGATGGTTGGGACTACTTGAAAACTGATTCTGATCTTCTGATCTTTGAGTTTATCCCAGATTTGTGGGCTTACCTCCAAAACGACGTTGCTTGTGGAACTAGTGCGTCCTTTTGTTCTCCTAACTATTTTAACATTTAGTTGTGACGTTGGTACATCGTGTAGGAGAGCTTTATTCTGTTTTATAATGGCCTCTTCAAGCTTCTTGTCTGTGAGGTCGAAGATCACGCCAACCAGTTGTAGAAGTGGGTTCTTTGTGGTCGGCCTGTAGGCAGTTAGATTGGCCGCTGTGCTCTTTAGTTTATCCTGACGGATGTTTCTGTCCTTCTCGGACTCGCAGCTAATGAGTACTTTTTGATTCTTTGCCTTTTTTATATTGCTAACGCCTATGCCTAGCTCGACCACATCGATCCCACCCTTAACCTGCTTGATAATATCTTCACTCGTGCTTCTCGGGTCAATTGATTCCAACAGTATTGGGTAGTGTGGCTTTCTCAAGACTTCCGAGAAGGTGAGTGGGAGGGTTCTATACTTGTGCGTTATCAAGTGATGTTTTTGTTCCTGATCAGTAAGGTAATGATCTTGTGACTGGCACTTATATTCTGCGAGATCCTCTTCCCCGATATGTGACTGATTTTTCAGCTCTTTCCTGAGGCATTCTATTGCCAGTCGAATAGGGGCTACTGAATCTACTGTGATATCTCACAGCTCTCTGTTTTCCCTTCTGAGTTCTTCTAAGTTTGCTTAAACCGAGGGAAACGGAGTGTTGGAGGAAGCGGTGGTTAGTTCTCTAATGTCTTTGGACATAGTCTTAATGTCTTGCCGTATTTTGGCTACCTCCGCATTTAATTGCATTCTCAATTCAGCAACTTGTTGGTGTAGCATGTCAGTTTTTTGGATGTATTTCTGTTCCATAACACCCTCCTGGTCACTAAATTCTTGTGTGGGAACGCTGCAAGACGGCTGAGAAGATTCCCTCCTTATATTGTGTTCATTGACTGCTCGACGAAGTTCTCGAAGCTCTTCAACCAGATGGGTAGAGTCTGATTCGTGTGGAGCTTGCTTCAGAAGAGAGTCAATGTTTCTTCGAAATAGTTTTAGTTCCTCCGTTAAGGTTTGTATTTGATCCTTAATGGAGGGGCCTGTGGATATTTCGTTTTTTACATTCACAACCTCCCTTTTTGTTGCGGTGACAGCCTCACAAATGTCGTATGACAGAATTAATCTGGTGGATTCCGTTTCCTTATGTAATTTCTCAATGTCCTCCTTTAAGAGAGCATACTGTCCTAGGGTTTCATGCATGAATCTCGCGTGTCTTTGCGTGAGCCTTTCGGACTCGCGGGAAACATTCAATTTCTGCTTGTTGGATTCAAGCATGTGCAGCATTCTTGAATCAGATAGTTTAAGAACCTTTCGTATAATGTGTACAACCCCGACACGACACTTTCTCGAATTTCTCTTTTTAAGTTACCAGACTTTTCTAGTTCAGCCTTAGTTCGCTGGATTATTTCGTTAGCATGTCTGGGCAACTCGTTTAAGAGCATTCGGTTTCCTCCAATGGATCGTGAGGAAGCATCAAGAGAAGTGTTTGTGTCTCCGCTGTCCACGTCCGAGTCAGCGGTATCCTCCGTCTCAGACATGGCTCTTAAGGTGTCTCTGGATTCAGCAGCTTTCGCTTGCCTTATTTGTGTACGTATCCGAAGAAGACTTGAGCCTGGCCTCGCAAGCACTGGGGACGACGTCGTTGCTTCATCTATGTTGGGCGATGAGAAGAGCAAGTTCGGAGTGTCTAGTTCTTCTCCCGCTCTCTCATCACGTGCTATTTCGTTGACATTACCCAGAAGTTCAACAGTCCCCTGTTCCGTGGGCTCTACCGGCTTCTCGCGAAGTGCCTGCTGGCTTGTCTGTTCTGATACTTTATTATCTGCACTGCCGCGTCCAGAGTCTTTCATGCTTTTTACAATTGTCTTCTTTTTTTTAGGTGCTTGCGGTTTTTTTTTTTTAGAGCATCTAGTAGTTGGTCTTTTAGATTTATCCGACATTGCGCTGCTTTGCACTTCGCTAGCCCCAAAAAAGTAAGGTGAGTCGAGAGATGAATAGAACCTTAAGGGCCCTTGACAAAACCAAAAACCGCGTTCAAATCGGCTTATTCAAGACGAAGTTATGCGACTTTGAAAATTTCCAAGATGGCGGATGATTTGGACAGGTCGAGTGCTAACTCACTCATCTCCTTCAAAAGTGGGTCCAAGAGTAAATTCCAAAAAATTGGTCCCCCTATCGAACCCTGCACACACCTCTTTGAAGTCCTTTTTGTCCATTTTGCCCCAGCGTACCTGACACACACTGTTCTATCGCTTAGATAACTGTCTATCAGGCGTCTCAGGTTTACTGGGCACCCAGTTTCCGCAAGTACACATCGTATTGCCGGCCACCAGGCGTTATCGAAGGCTCCCTCTATGTCTAATGATATGAGCAGGATAAGTTTTTTGTCTTTTAACTTGGTTCTTATTAACTGCATCATATCATAGAGGGAGTCCTCGGTGCTGCGCTGTGGCATAAACCCATATTGTGTCCTGCTTATTTTGGGTACGATGTGCCACTTGATTCTTCGGACTACCATCGTTTCGAAAACTTTACCCAGTACAGGCAATAGCCCAATCGGCCTGTACGATTTGGGGTATGTGTAATTTTCTTTACCGGGCTTCCGCAACACCACCACTGTTGCTTTTTTTCCATTTTATAGGGAAGTACGCGAAACTAAAGCATTTATTTATTAGTGCCAAGAACACCGCTGAATCCAAGGCGATAGCAACACCGCAAATGTTCACTGTAAGACCGTCGTCTCCTGGCGCCTTTTTTTGGACTAAAGGTGGGTCACATGAATTATCTTGTGTCCCTTAATTTACAGTACTCGCTTTTTCCCTTATTTGGGTGTGTTCCGTGTTATCATCCTCTATAAGGTCTTCTGGATAAAAGGTCTCCGCCAAGATCCTGACTGATTCCACATTCTCAAGTGTTTCCCCATCTCGGACAAGCGGAGTGTCCTCCTTTCGCGTCATTATACGGCCTATGACCCTATAAATACTATCCCACATTGTTTCATTCTCCTGCTTGCTACAAAAGTCTTTCCAGCTCGTGGTTTGTGCCCTTTTCACTTCTTGCTGATATTCTTCCTTTGCTGTTTTGTATTGCTCGACCACCCACTCACGACGGACTGGTGCTGCGTAGGAGATTCGGCGCTTTAGCCTGGAGACTTCCTTTTTTCGCTGCGTCAGCGCATCGGTCCACCAGGGCAGTCCCATTCGTTTTTTATTTTTTAATGTTGGTATGCTCTTTTTACAAGCTTCAGTTATTGAATCTGTAAATTCCTCTATTTTATTTTCTAATTCCTCTGTTGTGGCTATTTTTTCAATCTATGCTTTAGTTATCCGTTTTTCGTTCCAAATCTGAGCGAGTTTCTCACGAAACTCGCCCCAATTTGCTTTCTTTGTGTTGTACTTTCTTGTAGTTCTTTTTATGTCGGTTCCTAATGATTTTTCTAAATTTATGTCGAATAGGATTGCCCTGTGGTCCGAGCTGGTTGTTTCATCGGACAGTCTCCAGTTTTCCACCCTTCCGAGCAGGCTGGTCGAGCAAGCAGTAATATCCACGCAGCTGGAGTATCTTTTTCCACCTCGAATAGTGTCAAATGTGGGCTCAATCCCCCTGTTCAATATGTGGAGTTCTAATTCATCAAATTTTGCCACAACCTCTATCCCTCTACTGTCCGTTTTCCGGCTACCCCACCAGGTACTCCAGGCGTTTACGTCACCACCGAGTATCACGCTTGCAGTCCCCAAGCCCACCACGGCCGCTTCAATCAGTTTTAGATATGGGTCTATAGGTTTATCACCCTCCAGGTAGACAGACACCACTCCCAATTCCCAAGCCCCTGTCCTTAGCTTTGCAACTGCGATATTCTCCGTTGTGAGACTGGGGCATTGGGTCATGTCGATGGTGTCGTCGAATAGTACAATAGCAGCTTTAATCACCTTAACAGTGATCAGGCTTCTGTTGCTTTGTACTATTCTTGTCCCCGGGTAATTTTTTTTTTCATCTGGCCAATTCGACCGATGTATGGCTCCTGTATTATAGCAAATG